TTTAAAAAAATTGACCCTTATGACTGGTTTTGTGCTCCAGTGTCACAAATGATGAAGAGAAAGCGAAACGGACATACATCTAAATTTTGAATGATTTAAGGTTTATCTCTGTGAAATAAGACAACCTGAAGCCACTGTTGATAAGATACATCAGGCTGATTTTCATTCACACTGTTGTAAAAATAAATTGCTATTAAAGAGGTCATATGATGCGATTTCAAGTTTTCCTTTCTCTTTGGAGTGTTACAAGCTCTTGGTGCATAAAGAAGATCTGTAAAGTTGCAAAGACTAAAGTCTCAAATCCAAAGAGATATTCTTTATAAAAGTTCAGAGTCAGCCACGCCAACCTAAAACGGCTCGTTCTAACACGCCCCCACATGTCTACCTCACTATGTGGAAATATTAGCATAATGCCGCCCAAATGTGTATATAATGCTAACATAATGCTAACATTAAAGCATGTCAACATATTCTGTTACACCAAATACACCGAATAATGATCTTTAAAATAGCATCATATGACCCCTTTAAAATGATCAAAAGCAGCTGTAGATCATGTGTGTGTGTGTCCGGTTGGTGCTACTGCAGGGTGTAGTACCTGACGAGACTGGGGTCGGGGTTGTAAGGTGGGGGAGGGGTACAGTGAGAGGTGGACACTATAGACTGAGACGCATGAGCTCCATTCACATCTCCGTTCGACTGCATGTGGTGTCCACCCAGCATGTTCGTACCTGCAGCCACAAACCCACGAGAACCAGTTAACACACACAAATCAACAGATGAGCATCACATGGGATTTAGCGAAGTTAATATGAGCCACTGTCGTTGGTAGTGTCTCGCTTTTTATTCAGTGAAAGCAAAGCAAATTATACAGGTGCTCTTGTGAAAAACAAGTGTGCTTAATTGTATTGAATATGCACTTGTAGTGTACTTCAAATCGTAATAGTACAGTTTTAAAGAGGTGTATTTGCAGATAATATAATATTACTGAAATAAAAGGACACTTAAGTGTACTTAAAGAGAGACACTTTCGTGTTTCTTAGCACACTTTTAAAAAGTGCACTTTGTCAAATTAGAGGTTTTACTTTAAAGCACGTTTTAATCAATATTTTAATCATCTTTTGCCATGCTTTAAAAAAGTACACTTACATGGACACATGAAAAATACTTTATTAAATTTGAACCGTGTGTGTGTGTGTGTTTGATATTGAAAGTTTTAATAAAATTTGTATCCTGTTCTCCATTCATTTTTCCCATAGGGATTTTAAAAACGTCACTAAAAGTTAAAAGCTATGAACAGTGCTGGGTAGTAATGTAGTCTGGATTACGTAATCGTATTCCAAAAATTAAGTTCTTGTAATTAATTATATTACATTTTAAAATGCTAATAATCAGATTACAGTTACTTTTTAATGGATTACATGATTACATACAATGGTGTGAAAAAGTGTTGGCCCCCTTCCTGATTTCTTATTTTTTTTGCATGTTTGTCACACTTTAATGTTTCAGATCATCAAACAAATTTAAATATTAGTAAAAGATAACAAGTAAACACAACATGCAGTTTCTAAATGAAGGTTTTTTATTATTAAGGGAAAACAAAATCCAAAACTACATGGCCCTGTGTGAAGAAGTGTTTGCCCCCTAAACCTAATAACTGGTTGGGCCACCCTTAGCAGCAACAACTGCAATCAAGCGTTTGCGATAACTTGCAATGAGTCTGTTACAGCGCTGTGGAATGTGACAAACACGCAAAAAAATAAGACATCTGGAAGGGGGCCAATACTTTTTCACACCACTGTAATTGTATGAAATGTACGGTTTATATAAAGGCACTGAAATGTTGTGTAGGCTCTTACCCATATGTGACATTGACGCAGAGGGTCCTGCGCTCTGCTGAGTCTGCTGTGTCACGAGCTGATTCACTGAGGGAAGCTTGCTGATGGGCCCGTGGGTCTTATTCATGTTATTGAGTGTGCCATATGAACACGGAGAGGCCACATGACTCCTGTGAATCACATGAGAGGAATATAATTAATATACGGCATTCAATGTGGAACACTGAAGTACTAGATGCTAAAGAATGAGCTGAAAGAGGTCATATTATGAAGAGCTGAATATATTTTCCTCTTGTGAAAAAAACTAAAGTATATGTACTGTTATTGCAGATATACTTTCACATTTACATTGCAAAGCCCCCTCCTCAGTTTACCAATCTATTTACTGAGATTAAGCTGGCTTTTATGATATTTATGAGTTCTGACAGTTATGAAATTACAGTGAACATTGACTATGTGTTCCATGAGTGCTTATCAAGACCTGTATTCAGCAACTTGGCAGGTGTGACACTACCAGGGGTGGAGAAAGATACTTGTAAAAGTAATGCATTACAGTATTGCGTTACTCCATAAAAATGAACTAACTGTGTTACTTTTTATGGAAAGTAATGCATTATGTTACTTTTGTGTCACTTTTTGTCACCTGGGCTGGGCTTGCTTATATAAAAAAAAAGTTATACTTTTGGCAACTGTAAAGGCCCTTTCACATTAAAAGTGAAATGAATAAGCCTCTGCACCTCACTCCCGATTTCACTCAACATGGGGACAGTCAGTGAATAAATGAGAAAACAAAGTAGCTTGCTTTACTTATTTGAAAAAGTAACTCAGATATTTTGTTGTAAATTTAAAAGTAATGTGTTACGTTACTAGTTACTTGAAAAAGTAATCTGATTACTTTTCTCTAGTCTTCAGTGTCACATGATGCTTCAGAAATCATTCTAATATGCTGATTTGCTGCTCAAAAAACATTTCTGATTATTATCAATGTTGAAAAAAGTTGTGCTACTTCATATTTTGTGGAAACCTTTTTTTTCAGGATTCTTTGATTAATAAAAAGTTTAAAAGAACAATTTATTTGAAATATAAATCTTTTGTAACATTATAAATGTTTAACTCTCACTTTTGATAAACTTAATGCATCCTTGCTGAATAAAAGTATTAATCTCTTTAAAAAACAAAAACAAATAATCTTACATTTCCAGACTCTGAATTTTTACCGTAGTGTATGATGCCTATATAAAGACTCACTGTCTCTGTAGGAGCTGCTGTTGTTGTTGTCTGTATGAATCCACTAACTGTTGTGGTACAAACTCCACAAGTTCCAAACTGTCCTTTATCTTCATTAGGATGTCAAAGTTTTCCCGGCCTCGCACCTTCAAAACAATCCAGAAATATTAGAATGAACTTATATTTATATATATAGTTTAGTCATGAAACTCTAGATGGCGCAAGCTGATCGGCTGTTAACATAACTGATGATATTCAGAGAGTTAAATGACTTGGCACAAGCTGATTGGTTCATGCTGCATATGCAGCCAATGAGCTTACTGCCTTGCATTTAAAGGGGTCATATGATGTGATTTCAATTTTCCTTTCTCTTTGGAGTGTTACAAGCGGATTGTGCATAGATAAGATCCCTGAAGTTGCAAATAATAAAGTCTCAAAACCAAAGAGATATTCTTTATCAAAGTTAAGACTCTGCCACGCCCCCCTAAAACGGCTCGTTCTAACACACCCCCACATATCTAGGTCACTATGTGGAAATATTTGCATAATGCACCCAAATGTGCACACAAAGAAAGAAGGCGTTTTTCAGTAACCGCAGTTAGTGTTGAAGCAGCCATCTCAGGGAGACGCTGTGTGTTTCTAGGCGAAAGCAAAAGCACTTTATTTGGCCTTCCGAAAGTAGATGCATTTAGGAATCTTTAAGATTACTTACAACAGAACAGCAATGCATTTTATGGACGACCGTTTCGTGAACCTAGGAGAGGAGGTAATTCTGACTTTGCTATGACAGTCTGGCGCTTCTGAATCAGCTACTGTTTTGTTATTAGTTTAAGTATTTGCTATTGACTGTTCAAATTCGGAGTTTTGCGCATCGTGTGTGTGTGCGTGTGTGTGTGTGTGTGTGAGAGAGCGCGAGCAGCTGTCTTAACCGTGGCTTGTGTACTGCAAACACATACCAGCTTCATCACTGCTACATCACGAGTGTCACGCGACTCTGTTCCCCTTTTCGGGCTTGAACTGATGAGCTGGCTAGCATTCACTTGAAATTCCTGCAGCGTGCTGTCAGAGTTCTCTGAAACCCTCCACCTTCCCCAGCTCCAACTGTATAGATCTGCTAGGGGTTATTTGATATGCTATTTGTGCAGCAGCAGTATGTCTTAAATACTCACGGCACCGTATCGCCGTATGCATTGGCAGTAGCAAGTTCCTGTCCTTGCTTTGCAGCAGCAGCAAAAATCTACAACTACAGCAATAGCCAACAGCAGCAGCAATTCAGCAACAGCGTAGCAGATCTATTCCGCCAAGACCAAATACATTAAAATGAAGGGCCTGTAATGTTGGCTGGAGTCTGTTTGAAATCTGTGAGATCAGAAACAGAAGCTCCAGTAATAACCACAGATAACATAACTAAGAAACTTATATTGAATATGATATGAAGTGCTTGTGGAAATACATTGATGGCTCACTTCGTTTATTGGCATTTCCATTTTTGGCAACGCTCTCATTTAGAGCCTGTTGCTCCCTGAAATGATCCTCGTCTGCTTTGCGGTCTCGACCGGGACAGGCACAAATCCGGCCCTCAAACGAACGCCTGCCGAGAACCTGTCCGCTGAGCAAAAACATGGTAGAGTGTTTGACTTGGTTGAAAAACATGGTTGACTTCCATTCTTCCATTCCATTCTATGGAAGTCAGTTGTGACTAGCAACTGTTTAGTCACCCACATTCTTCACAATATCTTATTTTGTGTTCAGCAGAAGAAAGAAACTCCTACAGGTCTGAAACAACTCCAGGGTGAGTAAATCATGACAGAATTGTCATTTTGGGTGAACTGTCCCTTTAAGAACCACACTTTTGGAAGCAGAGAAAGATTTCAGTGTATTATGTGCTGTAGAAAACTTAAATGAAAAAGTGTGTATGAAAAAAAGTAATGGTGTTCACTCACTCTCGTGTCTCCAGCGTGATGATGATGAGGATGGGCCTGCGGTTCATTCCCCCGACACAACTGCTGTTGCACATGAAATTATACAGAATGGTTGTGGACTCAGTCCCCACCTTGACAAATAGATAACAAAAGAGAGACATAATCAGTTTCCAGATGCATTACATTATATTGTAAATAGAGGATATGGTACCCTTTTCAGGGAAAAATATTTGCATTGAGAAGTCAAATTCACTTTAATAAATTAATTTAGATTATTCAGAAACACCGGATCCTGGGGGGGGGGGGGAAACACTTTACAATAAGGTTACATTTGTTAACAATACGTAACTACTATAAATAATTGATGTTAAAAACTAACAAAGAAAATGAATTCCAAAGCATGTATTCATTTACATTAATTAAATTAATTATGAATGTAGATAATGTTAAATTCAACATTTAATAATACAATTAAAATAATTAAATGTTATATTTATTAATATTATTTAACGGATCTGAGCTCACATGAACGAACAATGAACCATTGTATTTTAAAGCAATAAGCCCCAAGAAGCCGTGGTTTACAGTGAATTTATAACAGCTAAGGGGCGTTGTTAAAACTTTTGGCTGTTATAAAATCACTGTAAACCACGGCTTCACGGGGCTTATTGCTTTTATAAAACGGTTATTCCATATACGTAGTTAGGTTTCACAAAATAAAACAGAGCAAGTAAAGTGTAATGATATTAATAAAAACAGTATTCTTCAGCAAAACAATGTAGCTCCTCAGAAACTGTTGTGGTTCCAACAAAGTGGTGGCTGAGCAACACACAGAAGTAAACGAAGGTGTGTGTTTGTAGAGTAATTTACAACAGCTTCGAACGCGGCTCAACCAATCAGAATCAAGGACCGGAACTCTCCGCTGTATAATTATTAACTAACGTTGACAAAAATCATTAAATACTGCAACAAATGAATTGCTCATTGTTAATTAATGATGTAACTAATTAAACGTTAATAAAAAGTTGACTAATGAGACCTTTTTGACATTCAAGAAATCCCGTTTTTATTTAAAATGGCTGTTTATCACTGTTTTTGTACACTTAATACATTTCATTGAATAAATTATTAAAAAGAAACTGTTCCAAAAAGCAGTGCATTTATTGATCGAACACCAGCACTTACTGTATGAAAGAAATATGCACCTCTAGGTGGCGCCAACCATTTGATATTCAACACAAAACAAAGTGTACTACAGTGTAAAAAGAGGTGTTGTAACTGAGAATAATCTCTGGGTTATTTATAGCCAGTCAGAACATGTGTAGCATCCTGAACTGAATGATCACTGCATGCTTTGACTCGTCATTTTACCATCAAACAATATGTATACTTGTGCACTTATGCATATGGATCTGCAGTAATTCACAATATGCTTGTTTGCTGTCAACGGGAACAAATTGTACAAAGTGTATGTGAACTAAAACAGCACTAGAACATGTTATATGAGAGCGAGGAACAATATGGATTTTATCAAATAAATAAATATTAACATTTAATGCTTTATTTTTCTAATATTTTATTCATATTAAAATATATATTAAAAACCTATAAACTAAATGGTATCTCAAAATAACACTGGGACTTACATGCAATGATTGAACTAACCTGTGGAGCCTCATACGGAGCGAGAGCACTCTGCCGGCCCGTCACAGGATCATCCACATACTGACACAGATTATTGCCCTCCACCCGAATCAAGTGACTGGCAGGAGCTGTCTGACCTGCACAGAGTCAGCAGGACAAGAAAGATTATGAATTAGAAGTGGATATTTCCTTTTGTGGCATGTGAAAGCGACCGGGTGTGAATGTGTGAGTTAGCTTTATTTTCAGTTCAAAACCTCACAAAACAATTTAGCTTTAGAATAATAGATGTATTAGAAACAAGCCCCGACATTCAATGTCTCGTTTCAGAAAACAAGACCATCTTTGTTTACATTTTTACTTTAATACTTGAAAGTTATTTGGTCAATTAAATATGAGTGAATGAGCTGAAGCTAAATGACTTAAATGACCAATGAAAATATATATATATTTATTTTTTTTTGACCATAGAGTCTAAGGTGGATTGGATTTTCAGGATGTCAATAACCAGTTTCAACATTTAGTAGGAAACCTAAGTAATATATGTAAAATACACTTATTTCATACTAAGTATAGTTCAAATCTTTTAACATATTTACTGACAGATAACTCGAGACTTACTAATATAAAAATTATAATTAAACTTTATTTGGCGTACTTGTGCACACTGCACATTTCTTAATATTAAGCCTAAAATGTGTTTTAATGTCACCGCTGATGAGGATTGTATGATATTTGAATAATATCGGTCTTTAAATGCAAAATATTTAAAGTGTACCTGAAGTATACAATCCAATATACTTTGGTATATCTTTAGTTGAACTTCAGCACTACTTCTGCACAATTAAAGTGCATTCAGTACAAAATTACTGTAGTTGTTCCAATTTAGCAGACTTTCAGTATACCAGTTTAGGACAATTGCAGGACATTTTATTAAGCACATAGATATGAAAATTTATTTGTAGTATACTTAGTATGATTTCAAATACATTTAAGCATGTTTATTTTTCACTAGGGTAGTCTGATTTTAGTAGGCAGTTGTTTTAGTCAAATGATGGTGGTTAGCTGTATTTTGTTCACATTCATATCAGACAGTTTATATTATAGCAGTCCACTAGTACTGAAATGTGTTCTATTTCGCTGCATAACATGTTCAGATCCTAGAACAGATAGCTGTATCGATAACAGCTGGTTTCACAAGTTATACAGTTTATCAGAGTACACATTAAAAGTTTTTTTTTTGATTTTTTATCCTATATGATCTAACACTTAAAATGACTTTTGTTCATGTAACCTCATGTTATTAGTATAATAATGTTAACTCATATTTTTGAGAAAAATAAAATTATATTATATTTTGTTAGGTTAGTGGTGTGTGTTTCAATAATGAGTTTAATTCATAAATGCTTTTAAATCGGCTGCTGTTTAAATGTTCTGGGAAAGAACTTTGGTCAATAATTGTTACAAAAGTCAACAAATTGAAACAACAAATATCTAAACAAATTGTTGATTTTTTTTTCGTTATAGATGCTTCAACACATGTCTGATCATATATAACGTATTCATATGTAAATGTCTTTTTACCACCAACACGAACAGTCAAATAACTGCAAAAATTGTTGCATTTCTGAATAAAGAATGAATTTTTTCATACTTTCATTGAAGTCCCGTCCGAGTTCATGGTTAGGACAGCGTTTGACCACCTCTGTGACGTGTTCGGCTTTCTTGTAGATGGGCATGGCTCGTATCACGCTGCCGTTTGGGGGCGAGGAAGCCAGTTTGATCTGAATCGGACAGGTCTTGGCGATCTGACAGTACAGCTTCTTGAGCAACGGAGAGTACTGCAGAAATA